CTTCCCATCTTAGGGCCAGTGATGTAGCTTTACCATCAGCCATTTTGGAGGGAACTCGTGTGAGCCGCCTTCACAATGTTCACCCAGGAGCAATGGTAAGGTAATGTTCTATGAGGTAGGAACCAGGTGACCCAAACCGGTCCGGGGTATGGGGTATTCACAGGAGTGCCCAGTCAAGCCCGGGAGGATAGATCGGCTGCTTCTCCCAACGCAGGAACACACCAGGCCGCGACTTGTCGAAGGCCACCGTCTGACACCAGGATTTGTAAGACTCAGGACCAGCACCAAACTTGCCCTGGATGAACCAGGCATATGCTCCAGGAGCTTAAAGCCGGCAAACAGTGTAAATGAGCACTCAGACCTCTTAATAAATCTATATTTGCCAGGTGCTGAGACCCATTGCGACTGACCAGTCACCAAAAGTATAGCCCTCGGCTTGCCGTGTGTATTTCTTTTGCAATTCATCGCCAATATTTACTCCACCAATGGATGAATGACTGCTATTTTTGCAACTCTTCAGCCACTATACCAACTCAAATCCAAAGAACACCATCCACACAGTGAAACATGTTGATGGCAGCATCATGCTGTGGGGATGTTTTTCAGCAGCCGGCAATGGGAAACTAGTCAGAGTTGAGGGAAAGATGGATGGTGCTAAAGACAGGGATATTTTTTAGCAAAACCTGTACCACTCTGTGCGTGATTTGAGGCTAGGACGGAGGTTCACCTTCCAGCAGGACAATGACCCCAAACAAACTGCTAAAGCAACACTTGAGTGGTTTAAGGGGAAACATGTAAATGTGTTGGAATGGCCTAGTCAAAGCTGAGACCTCAATCCAATAGAAAATCTGTGGTCAGACTTAAAGATTGCTGTTCACAAGCGCAAACCATCCAACTTGAAGGAGCTGGAGCAGTTTTGCAAGGCGGAATGGGCAAAAATCACAGTGGTAAGATGTGGCAAGTTCATAGAGACTTATCCAAAGCGACTTGGAGCTGTGATTGCCACAAAAGGTGGCTCTACAAAGTATTGACTTTAGGGGGTGAATAGTTATGCACATTGACTTTTTTTGTTATTTTGTCCTATTTGTTGTTTGCTTCACAATAAAAAAAACAAAAAAAACAATCAAAGTTGTGGGCATGTTCTGTAAATTAAATGATGCAAATCCTCAAACAATCCATGTTAATTCCAGGTGGTGAGGCAACAAAACACGAAAAATGCCAAGGGGGGTGAATACTTTTGCAAGGCACTGTAGATAGACACCTGCATTCCCACTTTGTGACATTACACTGAGCTTTGATTGCCCATTTAGCCATACATGACTGAGCCTTTTCTAGCCTCACAGGCTAGAGTTCACTCACCACTAGGACCACCAGGGATGGGTGGCAGCAGCAGCAGGATCCCCCCTCACAGGCTAAAAGGTAAGCAGGGAGGGGGGGAAATAATCACCCAAGTCACATCAGCCTCACTTGCTCACACACACCCAGCACCCCTAACACTCACAGCACCCTCACTCACACACACACACACTGCACCCCTGACACTCACAGCACCCTCACCCTGCACCCCTGACACTCACAGCACCCTCACTCACACACTCACACACACTGCACCCCTGACACTCACAGCACCCTCACTCACACACACATTGCACCTCTGACACTCACAGCACCCTCACTCACACACACACTGCACCCCTGACACTCACAGCACACACACACACAAACTGCACCCCTGACACTCACAGCACACTCACACACCCTGCACCCCTGACACTGACAGCACACTCACACACTCACACACACTACACCCCTGACACTCACAACACCCTCACTCACACACACTGCACCCCTGACACTCACAGCACACACACACACACACACATACACACACTGCACCCCTGACACTCACAGCACCCTCACTCACACACTCACATACACTGCACCCCTGACACTCACAGCACCCTCACTCTCCACACACTGCACCCCTGACACACTTACAGTGCATCCCCACTCACACACTCACACACACACTGCACCCCTGACACACTCACATACAGCACACACACACACACACACACACACACACACACTGCACCCCTGACACTCACAGCACACACACACACACACGGCACTCCCTAACACAGTACCCCACTACACACACACACACACTGCACCCCTGACACTCACAAATACACACACACTGCACCTGTGATACACCTACACCCCTGACACTCACAGCACCCTCACTCACACACACACACACACTGCACCCCTGACACGCACAGCACCCTCACACACACACTGCACCCTTGACACTCACAGCATCCTCACTCATACACACACTGCACCCCTAACACTCACAGCACCCTCACTCACACACACACACACTGCACCCCTGACACTCACAGCACCCTCACTCACACACACTGCACCCCTGACACTCACAGCACCCTCATTCACACACACTGCACCCCTGACACTCACAGCACCCTCACTCACACCCACTGAACCCCTGACACTCACAGCACCCTCACTCACACACACACTGCACCCCTGACACTCACAGCACCCTCACTCACACACTCACACACACTGCACCCCTGACACTCACAGCACACACACACACACACACACTGCACCCCTAACAATCACAGCAACCTCACTCACACACACACACACTGCACCCTGACACTCACAGAACACACACACACTGCACCCCTAACACTCACAGCACCCTCACTCACACACACACACACACACACACACACTGCACCCCTGACACTCACAGCACCCTCACACACTGCACCCCTGACACTCACAACACACACACACTGCACCTGTGACACTCACAGCACCCTTACCTACATAGCACCCTCACGCAAACACAGCAACCATCACTCACACACACACACTACACCCACTCACACACAGCACACACACACTGCACCCATCACACACACAGCACCCTTACCTACATAGCAAACACAGCAAACACACACACTACACCCCTCACACACACACTGCACCCCTCTCGCACACACACTACACCCTTTACACACACACACACACACAGCACCCTCACACACACTGCACAATTATGCTTTTTCTAGCATTTTTGTTTCCTGGTATCCCAACTATGGAGACACCAGAGACAAATTTCAAGCAAACACAGTGCAAGCATGTTTCTGAATTTGCGCTGTGCAGAACAAATAAAGGGTCTTTTTCTCATGCCAGAGCTCTTCAGCAGAGCTCTGTGCATGGTCTACCCTGGAAGAGCATTGAACCAACATGCTCACTTTGTGATGAGGCGTGCTTGTCATTGGTGATGACAAAACACACCCTATCTGGCCCCGCCCCCTTTTTAGTGGGCCGCTGTAATTAAAAATTCCCTGGACCAAATTTTCTTCCCAGTCTGCCCCTGTTTTCCCACAGAAATCACACATTCACAGTTACTACTGCAAAGGATTCTGGGTGGGCATATGCAAATTAGTTTAACAAAGAATCACATTTTTGCCTCATTCCATTTTAAACATGGATTCCTTTGAGTCTGTGTTTGCTGTTACAACAGCATTGAAATACAACTTAGGAAAATATGCAAAGCCAGTGAAACACTCATGGACAGCTGTTTAATTGTTAATGCAAACCTTCAACATGAGGTTGGTTACTCATTGGCTATTGAGGCTTGGTAGTGCTTGGGAAGCAATGGTGGGTGGAAAAAAGGTTAATGGTGGGGGAAAAATTGTGATTGAAAACCCCTTCCACCTGCTAGATATTATATATATATATATATATATATATATATATATAAATATATATATATATATATATATATATATAAAATTATATTATATATATAAAATATATAAAGAATTTTTATATAGTGTAGCAATGGAAAGGAGTTCAATCTATAAAAAATATATATATTAAAAAAACACTCTAAGTACCATATCAGTGTATGTTCTATATACCGAACACTTAGTGATAGAAACTATATGTTTGCTCCTATACTTATCAGAGCACATTTACAATGTCTGCACTTTAAATTGGTGCATGCTATGGAAAGCCCTACCTTCCTGACATTTTCCTTCAGGCTATTTCTTGGTACATAAACCTCATACAATCACGTCTACACAGCTATTTATAAAACCAGCCCTACAGTGGCAAGAAAAAGCATGTGAACCCATTACAAATGACAGTGTTTATGCATAAACTGGTCTTAAACTCTGTTTTTATGTTACATAGTTACATAGGCTGAAAAGAGACATGCATCCATCAAGTTCAGCCTTCCTCACATGTTTTTTGCTGTTGATCCAAAAGAAGGCAAAAAAAAACGTTTTAAACACTTCCAATTTCACAACAAACAAGGAAAAAATCCCTCTTGACCCCAAAATGGAGTTAGATTTATCCTTGGATCAAGAAACGTTTACCCTACAATGTTCATCCATGTTACAGTAATCAACAAACACAATATGTTTTAACACACAAATTATTGTATTGCTCTTGTACATAGTGAATATATCATTCAAATATTCAAAGTATAGATTGGATATTGAATACTGAATAGAATCAAGCTAAAGTTTCTTATAGTTCCTTACATATTTAATGCTTTAATTTACTCACTCTTAAAGGAAGTTGCAGTTGCAGAAGAAATGCTCTCCATGGTGTAAGAACCTAACAATAGAGTACAAAGAGGAATACAGTTAGCTCTATATTGGATGGTTTAGGTGCTAAAAACTGGATATGATATAGGTTTTTGTAGAATATTGCATATTCTATATGTTCCTATTCAAATACATATTAAGGTGTGGCTGTCTAATGGGTTAAACAGAACAGATGGCGTTTGCTATTCTGTACCATGAGGTCTCTGGAATTTGCTGTATAAGAGATTTGGGGTGGTCTTTATATGGGGAATTTCCTTATTTGGCCAGAGTCTAAACTAAACGTTATGACATAATTTGGGCTATAAAGGGCAGAGGACAAAGGTCCACGCTCTCTTCCTTCTACGATCCGTTTTGCTCTCCTCTCTGATGTCCTGAGTTGCTGATACAAAGACGACTCTCTGTAACGTTGTTAAGAAATACCATCTGTTAAGTATATTATTGTTTGCTATTGAAGTAGAATAAATGTATATTTGTTATAAAGAACATCAGATTGCGTATTAGTACTTTTCATTAATATAGACATATATTAATGTGGCGAGCATTATATTTGGCACAAGAAGAAATATATATATATATATATATATATATATATATATATATATATATATATATATGACTTATTCAACTAAATAAACACACAGACAGTTATTACGGTTTTGGACAAAATAATTGTTTTGCAGAATGTTAAACCAAAAGCTTGCCTCTTTAGACACTCCTCCCCCTCACTCCAGGAAAGAAACTTCCTTATAAAATATATGTTCTCAGCTCAGTCACTGACAGCACTGAATGATCCAGACTACAAAGTAACCTGCATTAAAATGAGAGGACATCTATAGACATGCACAATCATCACTACCTATTTGTAATATAGTCAATGCCTACAGCCAGGTTGTAAATTTAAAGCAGCTCACTCAGTGTTGGGGCTGAGACTGTGTGCATACCTTTGATTAGGAAGTTTGTCTGGCATGAGGGGAGTTATTTAATGAGGCAGGGTTATGGTGCAGAATATTGCACTATTTTTGAGCAAAAACTGTGAAAATATGCAAAAACAAAACTAAGTTAGACCAAAATCTATCAAATGCATTAAAGTTGCATTGCTGCCTGGATTACTCAATATACTACCCATTGCATTCTTATATGTTATGTACAATGTATAGTGCACTATTCTTCAAAGTAAAATGTCTCTTCCTTAAAGATATTAGGATGGAAAGGTGCTCAGAACTAAAAAAATTAAAGGGAGAATAATGTTTAGATGTGGTGATTGTGGAAGCCATGTAATAAGTTTGACTTCATCCTTTAGGCAAGAAAACCACTGAAGTTTGTTTATTATCGTTGTTATTTGAAATAACACGTGGGATCACTATAGGAAGAACCTAGCCTCACATTCTCTGACCATAAAAAACATGCCGAAACTTTTTCAGACCTAAATGACCCCAAAAAGACATGAAGGTAAGGGTAAAATGAGAATTAGGCAATTTATTGAAATTAATATATAGTAATAATATATGGTATTAATATATAGTAATAATACATGTTTCACCCATAACCAGGCAGTGTATCTGAAATACCAGTAACTTCTAAACAAGTCAAAAATAGTGAAAAAAGACATCTGTATTCGTTATATTATCAGAAAACCATAAACGTTAAAAAAGCATAATACAAATTTACACAATTTCAAACTCAATGAAATGTTTGTGACATGAAGGACAAAAAAAGACACCAGCAATAATAGTGCAATATGTCTTCATATTGTATAATTCCAGACTCACATGTGACAGAGCCTTGTTTCATGGCGTTGGCTATATGTCAATTCTGTAGAGTCACTTTTTCAGTATATATTAGCGTAATATTGCTATGAGAACCAGGAAGTGTAAACTATGTTGATTAAACAAATGGTCACATTACGGAGCTCTTGGAACTGGCACCAAGATGTCCCAATTGACACATAACAAAAATGATCTGTGAACTTTTTTTAATTGTAGCAAACTGATTCTGAAAATATGGTTAAGAGTTATTTTTTCCGCTGCAGAAAGGTAGTTGTAAAGAGCACTAACAGTGACATTTGTGTTAAGTAGAGAGGTCAAGGTTGGTTAGATAAACATAACATTGAGCAGATGCATAGGTCAGTAATATTCTCTAATACTTTAATGTAAAAACATGTAGTACTATTATTATTTTCCCAAATTTTTCACTTCTTTGACATATTTTTATTTGTAGCTATAAGTGTATAACTTTGTATGACATTTTTTAAGATCCACGTTTTTTTTTTGTAATGTAGCTATTGTCCTTTGATTAAGGAGAATTGTTGTTTGAGCTTAAGTGTTTCAAATTGCAGTTCTAATTACAATCAGACATTCTCCAGAATTCTCCAATATTAATCCTTCAAATTATAAAACAAGCGTGAAGCGTCTTTTTAAAATGTATTTTTAATTTAAAGAGGTACTGTCACTTCTCCTGAAATTACCAAATGAATAAATCATTGAAAATCCCTTTAAACTTTAAAAGGACACAGTAGGCATTGTAACTGCTTTATCTCATTGAAGTGATTAGGATTTCAAAATTCCCCTGGCGCTGTCCTACAAGTCAGTGTTAAACAAGTTTAATACTAAACTAGAGTCCCTAACAGCCTATCCCCTATGCTCTGTTTGGAATAAAGAAGAAGCATTAGCCTGTGCAGCAATGGGTGGCTGTGATAGGCTTAGAGTGTCAGCTGACTGATTTCAGCCCATCATTGCTTTCATTGCTGGAACGATTTCATATTTCTAACAGAAAATGTGGAATCTTTGTCTTAGCCAGACCAGTGTTAAACTGCTTAAAAATGATTGACGCTGAATAGAACAACAGGGCCAGAGGACTCCAGGTACTATAACCAATTCAATAAGATGAAATTGTTATTGTGCCTAAAGTGTCCCTTTAATTGTTAACCTTTTTATTTACGTGAAGCTCCTTTCTTAATGTTCATTAAAAATGTAGCCAATTATATCACAACCCAGGTAATTTCAGGCACAGCCAAGGCAAACGGTACAACTTAAGAAGATGTATAGACTATTGTTTTATTATCCTCTTCTCTGCATGTTCTCTCTGTGCTGCTTGTCAGTTGCAAAGGACAGAGCTTATAATAGTGGTTAACAGGGAGCTAAAATTGATGTTCCCTAGGGCAGGATAAAGATGTGTGTATTTCTATATTTAATTTAGTTTTTCACACCTAACAAATACATATTTATTAAATGTAAGGTGGTATGCAAACTTACCATAAAAACTTCTGGGAAGTGTCAGGTTCACTTTTAGTTTTACAAAATAGCTTCCACCAAATCACCCGTGGAATAAAAAGTTAAACTTAACTTTGGATACTTGCTTCCCTTCAGTTACCTCCCAAAATGATAACTATATAAAAAGTATAATATGGTACATATGGAATAGGGATCCAGCTTGTATCACTAAAACATAAATAAAAAATACAACATAGCGTAATACTGTTGTGGTCTTATTAATTGCCCTCAGGTGCTGTAACGGGAAGTATAAAATGAACATCACCCATCATATAGATCGAATTAGTTTTATAATAACTAAATTGGACCATTGTTTGTTGGTGAATAAAATGGGAATAAAGTTTATATGTTTAATTGTAAAATGAATTGTTAATTCAACTCTGGCATTTTTTTTTCTTTTTTGCATATAATGAAATCATTGATAAATATGCACAAAGTGTATTACTTTCTGGCGACCACCAGATGGCAACATAACAAGTTCTAAGTGGAACAAAATGGAATGCATGGCCATTTAAAAAAAAAAAAAAGAAACGGAAGTGCATCATAAAAAGAAGACACTGACCCATACAGGAAGTGTGTCATCGGAAATGGACACTTAAAATGCAGTGAAAAAAACGGAATGAAAATCAGAACAGCTGAAACAACAGATGGAGGTAATTTACCAATGGATGAGATGTCCAATAGAAGAGGAAAAGGAGAGTACGCCCATCGCACCACCAATGGACTTCCAGCACTTATTGTATTTAAGGGAAGGGAAGGGAAGGGAGGGAAGCAATAGGCTTATGGATACACTTGTTAGTATTTGGAGTGTATAAACTGTATGTTTTTTAAATTTTGGTTCCTGAAGAAGTTTCCTAAGGGGAACGAAACGCGTAGAACCATAATTGAATTTTACTATATGCCAATAAATCCATTGTTTTCTACTTTCAACCATTGGGAGAGTGTGAACTTCTTGGTCTCCAGATTGGCGTTACTACAAACGAACAGGACCTACCCCCCTACCTATAGGGGTGGCAACCTGAAGTCTTACTATATACAACAAATCTGTGAGTGTAACCTTGAACCATTGGGCAATTAATAAGACCACAACAGTATTACGCTATGTTGTATTTTTTATTTATGTTTTAGTGATACAAGCTGGATCACTTTTAGTTTTACCAATATCACATTTTTATCACTTACCAAAATGAAGTCTTCAAACTTTGCTTTAATTTTAAGTTGTACAGGTTTTATTAAAACTACTTCTCTGGGTTCCATGAAGTCAACAATACAAGCTAAAAAAACAATAAAGAAAATGTACAATATTAAACATTAAATATATAAAAAAGTTAATACTAAAATGGCTGCACACAACTATAAATTAAATTTTTTATCATAATAATAGCAATAGTAGTAATAATAATAATAATACATCAGGTTATATTACAAGTGAATTTTACCTCTTGAAAGGAATTCAAAGACCCCATGTGTATAATAATTTCAAATATAATGCAAAGGTAAAATAACTTATCATATAAATGTTCATAAATAATTATGTGGTGAGAGTGACAGAAAGATAACACCCGGTATTCAACATACATAATGCCAATGTACTTAATTTTTGTCAGGTCCGATTCTAGCAACCTAATGCCTACTCTTATGAGATTAACTCACTTAACTTTGGCAATTCATCCTCCAGAGGCTTCTGCTCCTCCAATGCAAAGAAATATAGGGCCCTCGAATGAGGCATCTGTGACAGGCTTATGCAATGAATCAACTTTTACTATAACTAAACCACCATTATTTTTGCTTAAATCACATATTTAAAAATATATATATTATATTTTGTGAGCTTAGAAGCAGGTGTTTAGTGAGTGGGTGTTTGGATCTTGTATGTTGCATTAATTGACCCCAGCAACACCCTTGTAATTTATGTATGTTTAGGAGAGTGCAACCTTCCTGGTTTCATACCACCCTGTATTCACACATACCTTTGCTAATTTACACACCTGCATTAACGCATACTTACAATATACACTTATACTTATATTCACACTATACACTTTATGGGGGACTTTGACTAAGCAAAATATGTGTTATTTTGAGTGCCAAATCAACTAATTTTGACTTGGCAAATTATCAACGATTTCACACACAGTTAATGTCACACCTGCTCCGTGAGCCTGACATCCTCCAACAGTCCTGGACGCTCTCTACCGATCTGGCAATTCCCATGCCGGATGACATGACAACGGACGTTGTTTTGGATTCGGCAATGATGCGGAATGCTCTGCCTCTCTCTCCCTTTATTCAAGTCACAGGTGGCATTCATTTTAGTATCACTCATGATGCAGGCTAATCTGAGGCCATAGGGGCCTATATAAAGCCCTTGTGACCTCTCTTCATTTCCCAGTCATGGTTATTGTTAGACTAAGAGTGTATTCTTTTATCCTTACTATTACTGGTACCTGACTTGGCTTTGTTTAATCGTTTATTGTGCATTCTGATAACCCTGATCCTTGGCTCTGTTGTACTCGTTTATCTGTCTGTCTCCAAGCCTGACCTATGCCTGTATCTGACTACTCTATATCCAATACTTCCTATATACGTTAGGCCACTCTAAGGTCTGGTAATATGTCTTTTCTGTGTATAGGGTTCTAATTGCCTCACTGTTTGCAAGTTAGGGCATCTGCCTCGACACTTAAACACAAATGAAAATTCATACACATGCCTTCATGCTATACACACACATTACTATACAGGGATGAATTCATTAAACCAGGAATTTTGTAAACTGACAAGGGAACTGCAAATTTGGTGTATATATATATATATATATATATATATATATATATAAGGCTTGGCCTGTAATTGTGGGAGGGATTATTTATCCTATTTAAACCCAGTGAGCCCCTGCTTAACTGTCGTCATCAATCTCGGAAGTTCTTCTGTTCACTTCCGGTTCACAGGACCCTGAGCTCATTTTCCCGCCCGCCGGCAGTACGTTTCAAACTTTCTTTCCTTACTGAGTTCGTAAGTATAACAAAGGAAGCCAGCATACGAACGGCTAACTGTAAGTTATACTCAATCATTCGAACTCTGTTCTAGTCGTTAATCACACATTCGTTTAAACAATTCCGTTCGGCTATAACTGCCATGCAAACTGTTTGTTCATTTACTGCTGCACTTCATGTAATCTGACATTCGTTTAAACTTTCGCCGATTTCCACGCACAGTTCCCTTCATACAATATCAGCTAATGTCCATTTGTCCTCACTCGTCACGGCCAATCGATATTACAATCGTATACGTGTCACCGAGAGGCCAACACCCCGCCACCCACCTCAGTGGCACAAAGGCCCCATGAGCCAAATCATAGGTAGAGCCTCTCAAAGCCACTTGGCAAGTAGTAAGGGTGTCACCCATCACCTAAGATAGTGAGTTAATACAATTTTGCCTTAGGGCACTAATCTAGTAAACTGGGTTAATGCAGATCTACACGAATACCATCCTAACCAAGCTATCTGCCTTGCACCCATAGCATGTCTAACGCTTCCATACAAGGCGACGACTTATCGGTTACCAGCACCCCGACCAGATCAGGCTCGCAGAGATGGCAAACCGTACTGGCCAGTCCAGTGTCCAGCTATAGATCCTGGACAATTCCAAAAATAACCACGGAACTTAAAAAGAGAAACATCCCCTTCCAGGCCACAGTCAGGAAAGCTGAACTTTTTCGCTTATTAAAAACTAACGAGGACAATGAAATACCTTGCCCTAGTTCTGAATTTAATGTTCAAAACAGCCTGTCAGAACTGTACGTTATGATGGCCTTCCTAGTGTCTTCCGTAGCCACAATTAATAATAGGTTGTATAATCTGGAGTCAAACAATACACCAACCATTCCGCAGGTTCCAGTACCTATAGCCCAGCCAGAGCCTAACTCAGGAGGCAACAATAACCCTTTACCCGCTAAAAATACCAATATTATAAACCTTATTCACCTAATACCACAAAATCTTAAGCGTGACATAATAGAGGGGAATGACATTAATCTGGCTTCACTTCTCATTGCTTCTCAAGACGTAATCGAGAACAGGTCATATGCGTTTGATGACTTGTCGGTAGTTATGAAGTCTAGAGACCCAAGACTGAACAGGAAACTAAACATCCCTGAATTTGTCCTGGCCTTTGGTCTATATAGAGACGTAATTTGTACGGCTTTTCCCCTCCGTAGAGAAGAACTTGATTTATACCTACATAAAATTATTGACTTGGCATATAAATACGGAGGCTATGCCTTTTATGATTATCACAAATCTTTCGTATCCAGGTCAGCTGCATCACTGGCCCAATACAATACAAACACCGACTGAGGCCAGTTAGACACCGAATTATTTTTAAGGCATTTTGCGGGTCTCAAAACACCTTCTTGCGCTATATGCTCTTCAGCAGCTCATCCGGTTAACTTTTGTCCCAACAACATAGCAATTCCCTCAACCAGCAATGCCAACCCTGATTATCAACCCAACATGACCCAGAGAGAATTGAGAGACAAATTAGGCAGGCCAATCGTTTTTATGGGTTAAGCTCAAGTCTGTAACAATTTCAATGCTGTAGGTTGAAGTTACAGTGCTTGCAGGCTCCTTCACGTGTGCTCACTTTGTTACAGAGCGCACGCTAAAACCATGTGCCCAAACAGGCTGTACCCTAAAAAATCTTCCACACCAATAAACATTCCTAATTTGCAACATTACCTGTCTAATTATCCTTCTTTACATCTGGTAGAATTTCTCACATCTGGTTTTTCTAACAGGTTTTGTTACACTCCCCACAGGAATTTTGGAATGCCCCAACCTACAGTCAGCACTAACAGACCCTAGTGGTCTACAAGAACTCCTACATAAAGAAATTAACAATGGTTTCATGATAGGGCCTTTCACAACACCACCTTTCACCTCCTGGAGAACAAACCCTCTAGGCATAGCTACAGGGAAGTTTAATAATAAAAAGAGACTCATAATTGATTTTTCAGCACCTCACTCTTCCACTACACCTAGCTTAAATGCACTAATTCCATCCAAAGATTTCTCTCTTCAATACGCAAGAATTGACGATGCCATACAAGCTATCATTCATTCCGGCAAGGCTGCATGGTTGAGTAAAACAGACATTATTAATGCATTTAAACTACTACCTATACATCAGTCACTCTGGAACCTGCATGGCGTTAAGTGGGAAGACAAGTACTATTTCGCTACCAGACTAACTTTCGGCTCCAAAAGTAGCCCCAAGATATTTGATATCTTCACCGAAACTTTGACCTGGCTCCTACTTAACAAATGCAGATGTCCAGTAGTCATTCACTTTTTGGACGACTTCCTCGCTATCGAACCACACCATTGCACACCAAGCAGCCTACATCACATGCTGTCTCTGTTTGAGGATTTAGGAGTCCCAGTAGCCCCAGACAAAACAGAAGGTCCCAACACCGCGATTACCTTCCTGGGCATAACACTCAATTCAGTTTCTATGCAAGCTAGCCTGCCCCAAGAAAGAATAGACAGAATTCTTACATACATCAACATCTGCACCTCACAAGGCTCTTGCACCAGGAAAGAGCTACAGTCACTACTCAGGTCACTCAATTTTGCAATGAGGATAATTCCACAGTGGAGGTTGTTTGTTTCCAGAATTCTCTCTCTCTTACATGGTCTCCCTGACGATGATTCCACAGCTATCTTAGACAAACCAGCTAGAGCAGATTTAAAAATGTGGCATCTATTTCTGTCCTCTTGGAATGGCAGTTCACTATTCGTTCCCCCCATTTCTGACAATTCCTCGGCAGATTGGACTGACACATCAGGTGCCATAGGTTATGCAGCAATATTTGGTAATGACTGGGTGTACGACTCTTGGCCACTAGAGACTACCTCACTAGAGAATTTCAACACCACCTCAGCACTATTTGAAATCTTTCCGATCTTAGCTGCTGCACACATATGGGGTAAAGAATGGAGAGGTCAATCAGTCAGGTGTTTTTCCAATAACTTGGCGGCATGTAACATCATAAACAAAGGCCGCTCCCAGTCCCTTACTATTATGAACTTGGTAAGGAGACTTACCTGGCTAGCGGCAAATTTACAGTTCTGTATAAATTGTATTCACATTCCAGGTATTCAGAATAACGCAGTTGATGCACTCTCACGCTCTAATTTGCAGGAATTTTTCAGAGTCCATCCGTGAGCAAACTTGCAACCCAGAGAACCTCCAAAGTTCACAGATCTAATAATGCTTTAAATACCCTGTTAAGTCATAGTAGGTCGCTCGCACAGGCTGGTTTATAACTTAATACCAAAAAAGCCTATTCCAGAGCTTATGATGTGTTTAAAAGATTTGTACATGATTACTATGTAATAAATGTTTTTTCTATAGAAACCATGGTTGCATTTACAACTTTTTGCCACATATCTCTAAAATAAGCATACAATACAATCAAACTTTACTTAACAGGCATACAACACTACATGTTAACTAGTTATCCCAACAAAGCTCCATTTCTAGCATCTTACCTAGTCAAAAGTGTCCTTAAAGGTATTCAGAGACAAACAGTTCATAATCCCATTAAAAGACTTCCAATAGATAGTATACTGTTTAGGAACATCTCCGATTTACTAGACGAGTCCCCTTTTGAGAAGATCACTACCTGATCACTAACCTGATAATCAAATCTGCAGCCTACATAGTTTTCTACGGTTTCTTGAGACCTAAAGAATTTTCTGTGGAGAAGGCATCCGACTTTAAGATATGCCTTCAGAAAAAACACCTAACTAAAACACAAGACCACTGTTTCCTATCAATTTCTCATACCAAAATGAGTCAGACTGGCCCACCAGTAGAGATTAAATATTACCCTAACTCTACCAAGTGGTGTCCAATCCACATTCTGGGTAAGCTAGTGAAAACACAGCTTACTACTGACCCAGAATCCCCACTATTAGCCATTCAAGGGAAACCTCTAACCACCAAACAATTCATGCTTTACATTCGTACGTTGTTACTCAGGCTAGGACACAACCCGCATTCATTCACTGGCCATTCATTCTGTATTGGAGCGGCCACAACAGCTTCCGGTAATCACGTACCAACACACATCATTAAAAATATGGGACGTTGGAAATCATCCGCATACAACAGATACATCCCTAATCCAGAGAAAGAAATGAGATTAGCTTTCCATGAAATCTCTAAATAATGTATTGCTTAATAAACATGTCTGACAAAAGAAATCGTTTCTTATATTTTTGCCCTCTTTTTACAGGTCTAACCTCACGTCAGTTTCGGCACAGCTCAACTGACTTTGCTCTTACTAAACTTTCATCACATCATACCATACGTTCCTCTAAATGTGCTGTACACAATTGGAAGAGTTGGCCTGTAATTGTGGGAGGGACTATTAATCCTATTTAAACCCAGTGAGCCCCTACTTACCTGTCGTCAGCGATCTCGGAAGTTCCCCTCCAACCGCACCCTTTATTATTTTCATATCATCTAGTTGGGCCCTTTTTTTACAGGTCTAACCTCACATCAGTTTTGGCACACCTCAACTGACTTTGCTCTTATTAAACTTTCATCATATCATACCATACGTTCCTCTAAATGTGCCATACACAAATATTTATATATATGTATATTCCATATAGTGTACTGTGTACTTTTGCCTACAAAATCATGGTTGATTTATGCTAACTTGGTAAAGGAAGCCTATGTTCTTGCTGTCCCCTCGGATTGTTTTGTTTCCTACTCCCATGGGTGCCTATCTATGGATGCACTGTTTAACCTTTCCCTTGCAGTATGACAAACCTACTCTGGGTGTTCCTATGTGTTACAAGCACTATGCACTCACATAATCAATTTTTTGTAACTTAATCAATCTCTTCAATCTTCTCAGTTTTAGAGGTGCATCTACTCTAACCAATTAATACCTATCCCCTAACAATGACAGATTAATGGAAAAGCCCAATCCACAAAAACACTTTATCTTCAGTGCTTCAGGGTTAATCATATGTCTCTTTGATGAAAGCCACTTCGCCACTGGGGTTTGGAGGGGACTACTTGCCAGCCTTTTACCCTGTGACTATGGCCTCTGCAATAAACCTGGCTAAAATACTTCAAACAGGCTCGGTTCGTGCAATTGGAACCATATGTTTACCGAACAACCACACAAACAGAGAGCACCCTGGAGCTTGTTAACACCTATTAACAACTTGGAACGTTTCGTATGTTTCTGCAGTGTTCTAATTGTTCGTCTGGGTGGCCGCAATTCCTATGAACAACCACGAGGTGGCGGCCATCTTGTTCGCATGTTTGGGCATGAATCTCATGGAACTGAAATCGGATACAGAAACTCCCTAACACCGCTGGATTTCCATCATTGCCTGCATTTGTTTCTATTCAGCTTAGAAGGACATTGTTCGGTGAGATCATTCATCTGGATGAAGTGAACAAGACTATTGACTCTGTTCGCTAGTTTGTTCGTTTGCAAACTACCAAACTAGACTGGCCGCAAGCCCTGATTCTCTGGAACTCTTTTGGGCAGAAAAGAGACTTCCAGGAATTTCCTGAACCCCTACTCTGCTCTGGATGATTTTTGGATATGTTTTTCACCCAGATCAGGGCTATCAGGGGATGTGACATGGGGATATGTTGTGTTTATGGGAACTTATGAGACTTTGTAAAGATGTGTGTTTTTCTGACTGGAGATAATTGGATTAATACAGTATCTGACTCAATTATCTCACAGGCAGAGGGGAGGGATTGTATGCTTGTTATGGGAGTTTTGTACATTTAATTACTGTTTTTATTGGTTTGTTAACTTGTGTCCCTGTGCCCAACAAGGTCCATGTGGGTGTCACCCTTGTTGGGAAACTTGCATAAAGAACCAGTGTGGCTCCATTAAAATTGAGTTCCTGTTTAACCCTCAACACGTAGCCTCGTCTTGTGATTGGAGGGGAACTGCTATATATTTACACTGGGGATTGCTATACTCTTTATACTGCCCTGGGTTCTAATCACTAGCTCTTCTAGGAGCTGTTCCTGCTACGCTCTCTGACATAGGAGAGGTCTTTCCCACACGGTCCTGGATATCCGAGGTTGGTCCAGGGTGAGAGGAAGACGGCGAGATCCAGCTAAGCTTCGGCGGTTGTGAAGTCTGCGGTGCTTGTGGTGTCTGGTGCTGGGCTTATGGTCCTCAGTGTCAGTTAGGCAGCATCTGTTGGCGGAGGTGCCCACTTGGGGTGCCAAGTGATCCGTTACAATCTCACTTCTATTATAAAAGTGATAATTTATCCCCTTAAGGACCAAACTTCTGGAATAAAAGGGAATCATGACATGTCACACATGCCATGTGTCCTTAAGGGGTTAAGGAAAATTCTGCACTTTTGTACAAGTCCTTAGTTGCACCTTTTGTAGCCCTTAATCAAATGTTTCCTCCATCATTCACTTTGAATTCTCATTCAAAGCAGGGGGCAATGCTTCTCTTAAGGAATCATTGAAACAAATACTTCACATAGAGAAGCATTCGACTGGCAGAGTGTAACAATTGTGCCGTAGGTCCCAATGTTTTCTCTATTTGAAGCATTGAATTGGACCAGAGATAATCAGAGGGATTTCTCAGCAAGAGAGGAGATTTTATTTTATCAGTGGAATGGGAATCACAGGAGAAAGACTGGAAATGAAATATGTTTTGTATCAAATATTAAAAATTAACTAATATGTGAATATATTAAATAGAAAAAAAATAGAGAAAACAGAAAGTAATAGATTTGTAAGCTAACTGAATTGGCATATTCTTACAAATGTCAGGAAACCACACATTTCAAAGATCTTAGATAACACACCCACAGAAACAATAGACAACATAAAACTGTCTTATTACAGGAAGACAATTGCTTCCCCACAACGCAGTAACTGTAACAGGCAGACATCAATATCCCTATGAAAAACTAAGTAGTATAATTTTTCCAAAATGTTATCACACAGACATCTATTTTTTGTTTTTAACTTTAGCTTCTATGGAAAAAACATAAGCTAAAGCACAATAGCATTTGATTAGTGTAAACCTGTTGTGTATCTTGAAGTAGTCTGGGTAGAGACTGTTGGCTTTATTGTTTTATTAAATCAGTACGATACCATAAACAAGTCAATTATTGTCAGGAGCAGTGAGTGATTGTATCTGCCTTAGGTAGAATTTATATTTTATAGATATTTTACAAAGTATATTTTATAGATATTTTAAGATATACATTATAGCTCCTAGCTAAAGTATTCTTGTATTTATTATATTCCTTGAAAATGTCCCTTTTTAAAAACTTTTTTTCTTTTTTTTTTTTAGGTCACGTATAGTGTTTTTAATTCCACTATTACAAGTCCTAAAAAGTCAGAACATGTGTTGTATACTGTTAGTAGGTCACTATGTACACACACCTCTTTAGCTGCTATTGTGCTGTGGTGCTATTGAGTCAATAATTAAACAGAATCATGCAGGTGGCCATGCCTATGTTGAGCCCTATTACAACATGTTATGAATGTAACTATTTAGATTACCTCAGAATTAATTGCTCAGAAGATATAAGCATGTAACCAGGAATTTATTTGAAGAAAGACACATCATTTTAAATATGCCTGATAAGTTTTAGTAAGCAAAGCACTAAACATACCTTGTATTTGTGAGCAATAGGTTATCAAATTGCATGCAGGGATATAACAATTGGACATGCCTTAGAGTTCACTATGGCCAGATACATGATGTGAATGCTCCATGTTTGGAAGGCCTAAAAGCATCAATTTTGATTATAACCTACAAAACACTTACCTGGATATTTTTCCATGAGACCCAATAAGTTGTCCAAAAGATCTAATGGGGCAACAGTACAATCCACCACTAGAAAGGATAGAGTATGTTTGGAACAAGTTGTCGGCTATAGCAGTTCTCCCTGTCCAGCCTCAGACTTTACTTCTGATCTGGAGACTGCCTTCACCAAATCTAATGACCTATCTGCATCAGGAAAAGCTCTATAA